CTTAGAGAAAATTCAGAGGACAGAGGAACATATTAAACAATATCACAGAGATGCAATTAGCAAAATTCAAACTAGGAACACTTTAGGACAAACAACACAGTTACATCAACAAATAAGAGAGAAGTGATGGAGGAAAAAAGGGAAATAACAAAAGAAAGAGCGAGAGAAAGCTCTTAAGCAAACATGACAAAATGTTGAATTTTATAAGATGGTGGGTACATGGTTTCATTTTTCTATTACTTTGTGTCTTGTATATGTTTAAAAAGAAAGAGGTAGATTTAGTGGAATCAAATATGTATAAAGGTTCCAGAGACAGGTTTTACCAAGAATGGTTGGGATAGATGTTAAATTATCAAAGACTGCAGTTTAATAAGAGCCCTGCTGGTGCAGTGGTTAAGAGCTCAGCTGCTAACCAAAAGGTCAGCAGTTCAAATCCACCAGTCGCTCCCTGGAAATCCTATGAGGCAGTTCTACTCAGTCCTATAGGGTCACTATAAGTCAGAATTGACTCTACCGTAACAGGTTTTTTTGTTTTTGTTTTTTTGTAAATAAGAAAAAGTTCATCCCTGAATTAAAAAAAATAAAAACCATGAAATCCAATCTTTTTTATGTGCATGCAATCAATTTATATGAGTGTTTCCTGCATTAAATTGTTACATAAGAGAATATGCTTCCTCAATTGCTAGCAGCTAAGGGAGAACAGTATTGTCATAGTTCCACTTTTTTAATTTTTCTTCCCTCCATTATTTTCCTCTATCTTCTCCCATAAACAGTGACTCCTAAGTAATCTTTCCATAACCCTATCTTTTGTGAAGCACTACTTTTGTGTGCCTCCTGAAATGCCTTTGCTACCTGAGGACACAAACAAAAAATAAGAAAGTAAATAAAATAGTGTGGTATCCAGTCTTCAAGATGGCCCCAGTGGTCCTTGCCCTGGGGTATTCATACTCTCATGGTATTCACACTCCAGTGTGTAAATACCCTCCCACATGGTAAGAGGGTTGGTCAGTATAACAAATGAAATTAAGCAGAGGTGATGGTATATTACTTCCGTGATTAGGCTGTAAAAGGCACGGTAGCTTCTGGTTTTCACTCTCACTCTCACTCTCGCTGTCTCTCCCTCTCCTTCTGATTACTTACTCTGGGGAAAGCCATGTCATAAGCAGCCCTATGGGAAGGAACTGCAGCCTCCTAACAACAGCTACATGAGTCACCTTGGAAGCAGATCCTCCAGGCCCAGTCAAATCTTCAAAAACTGTCATCCCAACCAACAGCTGACTGCAATCTCATGAGAGACCCTGAGCCAGAATCACTCAGCTAAGCCCCTCCCAGATTCCTGACCCTCAGGAACTGTGTAAGATAATAAATGTTTGCTGTTTTAAGCTACTAAATATGCAGGTAATTTACTACATAGCAATACAAAAAACCCAACCTCATTGCTGTAGAATCGATCTGGACTCATAGGCACCCTATAGAACAGAGTATAACTGCCCCATAGGGTTTCCAAGGAGCAGCTGGTGGATTCGAACTGCCAACCTTCTGGTTAGCGGCTGAGCTCTTAACCACTGCGCTACCAGAGCTCCATTACATAGCAAGATAATAAAAAATAGTAAAACAGGTAAAATGATTGTCTCAACTAATGCTAAATAATACCTGCCCCTCTCAGACTAACAAGAATATAAAAATGCCCAAATTCAATACCATGAAATACAATGCTATACAAACTCAACATACTATGAAACTAAAACAATTTCTCATTAAAATGAATAATGTTTTCTTATCTATCAGAACGGCAAGATTTAAAAATATAATAACGTCCAATGTTAGCAAAGACATGTGGCAATAGGAATTCCCATGAACAGTTGTTGGGAACATAATTGATACAACATTTTTTGGGAACAATTGTGCAATATTTATCAAAATTTAAAACCACATACTCTGACCCAGCAATTCCAATACTAGACATTCACTCTATAGTTTACAGATTGTATCTTATGATCTATTTGCTTAAGTGCTCAAAGATATACAGATGTTTACTCCAGTGAAAAACTGGAAACATAAACATTTATTTAAAAAAAAAAAAAAGATTGGTTACATAAATTATAGTATAACTGAACAATTGAGATGTTATTCAACTGTTAAAAATGAAGAGGAAGACATACATACTGATTTAGAAAAATAACCAAGGTACAAGTAATAAAAAAAGTAAGGCTAAAATAAGATGTCATTTACGCTGGTGAGAGAAAAGGTTTTCTACCAAAACAAACATTCATGCTTGCGTATGCATAGAAAATGTCTGGAAAGATACAGGAGCAACTTAAAAGTTGTTACCTCTGGGGAAACGAACCAGAGAAATTTTTACTTTTCACTTAATATTCTTATGTTGCTTTAACTATTAATTGCTAATATAATTTTTTAACTTTTTTAACAAATTACAAAAAAAAAAAAAAACTAGTGAGCTCTCTCCTATATTCACTGATACAGAGCAGAGTTGTATTCTAGTTTAAGATCATTCTTAATAAACCCATTGCCATGGAGTCGATTCCAACTCATAGTGACCCTATAGGACACAGCAGAACTGCCCCATAGAGTTTACAAGGCTGTAATCTTTAAGGAAGCAGACTGCCACATCTTCTCCTGCCAAGGGACTGGTGGGTTCAAACCTTGGACATTTCGGTTACTAGCCAAGCACTTAAACACTGCGCCACCCGGGCTCCTTAATTCTTAATAACGATGATGGAATAGGGAACATGGTAAAGAGTTCACATTAAGAAAATTACAATACGGTCATTATAATTAAACTTATTTTTAAAGATAATCATTATTGTGCAAGTCTTTAATAGCAAGCCAAATAAACCCATTTAATTTTATTTCTGCTTATCACTCATACTAACCACATGATAATGTGAAAGCCAATATACATTGAGCACATACTATGTGACAAGAACTGTACTGAATACCTCCAAATATTTTACATATGTTATTGGTAGAGGGTCAGCAAAAACGAGGGAAACTCTCAATGAAATAGACTGACACAATAGCCACAACAATGGACTCAAATATACCAACATCATGAAGATGGCACAGTACTGGGCAATATTTTGTTCTGTTATATATAAGGTTGCCATGAGTCAGAGGCAACTCCAGGGCAAATAACAACAACAATTTAATCCTTAAACACTTATAAAAGTACCATTAGCATCTCTATTTTACGATAAGAAAAATGAGGCACAAGGAGTTAGTATCTTGCCCAAAGTCATACAAGAGTAAAGAATTTGAAATCAATCAGACTGATTGCAGATCTTATTCTCTTAACCAATACCCTATCCTGCCTTCCTGAATGAGCCTATAGTATATATTCTCTTGAATTTAGGAGGTATTCTCTTATTTTGTTCATACCTCAAGTCAAAGAAGGACTGCAAAGTGTGGTCTGCATCTAATATGTTAACAAATAAACCAAAGTAAATGTAATACCAGAATTAATTAGACAATTCTTACTCTTATGAGATAACAGAACGGGCTAAGGATACAATGAAAGCAATTTCCAATTAAAAATATATATTTTATAATTGCCTAATAAAAATGTCATTTATTTTACTGAAATTCCATAATCTTCCCTGACTAGCTGATTTCTGCCAGGCAGAAATTTCTTCCAGTTAATACATTTAGCATCCTTCCAAAAGAGCACACTTGATCATCTCCCTTTCCTTTGGCACCAAATGTAACAAACGTAATACAGGAAAATGGAGATAAACTGGATAAAATCTAAAAACCTAACAGTCTATCTAAAATGCTTGCCTCACTTCCTTTTTCCATGTATTTGATTATTTTTACCTTATTTCTAATATTAAACCATTCAGTCACAGCTCTACTCTACTTCCTTTGCTGGGTAAGGCAAAGGAAAATAAGGATTAATTTGAAAAAGGGACCAATTAAGTAATTTAACAAGTTCTATCATAATAACTACAACTAATCATGCAACTTGGCTTACCTAACGGCCTTGTCATCAACACTGTAAGTTACCCAGCATTTTTTATCTCTAAGAAATCTCAGAAAAACTACAGGAATATATGCTCACTCTAATATAACACCTTTCATTCCAAAGTACCTTACAGACAAGTGCCTTTCCTGACCATACAGATGTGGCCAGGAAGAGTCTGACCAATTCCTGCATTTGTTCTTCAAAGTACACAAACGCAACCTCCCTCCTTCCCCTCTCCAACCCGCAAAAACAAATCCCTACCCTCAAAAATCGGCATTCCGGGTTCCAATTCTAGCAGGGCCCACTTAATAAGGACCTTGAACAGTCTCCGTTTCCTTCGCTGTGAAATGAGGATTATACCAGTACCTACTTCCTAGGGCTGTTCTGGGAATGGACTAAAATAATTCATGGTAAAACGCTTAGAACAGTGGCTGGCACATAGTGTACGCGCAATAGCTACAAAATTAACTGCCTGGAGTCCGGATTTTCTTCCTTTTAGTTAAGAGACTATTACCGAACTCCATCAGGACAACTGGGCATACAGACGAGGTTTTCAAATTAACCCATACAATAAATAGCAGCTGTATATACTCAGAGTAATTTTAACTTTTCATAGCACTTTCACTCTTTGCAAAAAAAAAAAAAGATTTTTTTTTCATGTGAAATTAAAGAAACACTCCAATCCCCTACTCCCACACTTTTAACCAGCGACATGCCTGGAGCCCATATGGCAACCCACAGCCTGGAAATAAAGTCGGGCTTTCCCTGGACTACGGAGGAGGAACCTGACAAACAGCTGGATACATCTGAGAACCAGCAGCCCAAAGCAGGCCAGGATCGCTCAGCGCTAGCGGCTACAGTTCATGTACAGAGCGCAACATTCCCTCTTGCCATTTTCCTCTTATGTCGAAACTAACGACGCCCTTTACCGTCTCGAACCGAGGCAGAGCTTCTCCAGGCTCCCTCCTCCCACCCTGCGCATCTGTCCCCCGTTGAAATCCACTTTCGCCGTACTCACAAAGTGTGTCCGCACACATTCACCATCAGCTTCAAGGAGGGGTTCCGGTACTTGGTGGTCTTACACCGGGGGCAGCCCTGATCGTCCATGGCTCCTTCTCCCCTACAAATTCTCCCCGAAGCCTGCTTCAACCACAGCCACCTCCAAGATCCTCAGTATTGACGCCAAGCGGGTTCTTACCAACAAGCACTTGTCAGTGGCGGTCCTTCGCGAATAAGCACCGGCCGGGACGACGCACTACAGCACAAACGTTCCGGCAGCGCCTTCTCTCGTCCCGTTCTAGGGCTCTGTCTCAGCCTTCCCCGTTTAATGGAGCGCAACACTTTAGGTGTAGGAAAAAGGTTTTCTTTAAAGAACCAGTAACTTTTAATCCATACGTCTGTAAGTATGAACTACATAGTATCATTTCCTTTGAGGCTTGAATCGCAGAGATTAAATTCTAATACATGTGTATTCTATAAAAATAGACAACTGTACAGTAAATGAACAAAACACTACCTAAATGAGATCTGTAATTTAACATCATGTACTATATCACTGTAACGATGCTAAACCACTCAAGACTTAGAAAAAGAATGTTTCTTTTCTTTTTTTAGGTGCTGAATGTGATTTTATTCCCTGAGCTCTCACATGAACGGTGCCTGGGCACGATTTTTTCTTTCTTTTTCAACGTTTCTTACATGTACAATTCAGTGACACCAATTAAGGTCATCACGTTGTGCAACTATCACCACTCTCAGAAAAGAAAAAAAAAACTTTTAAAAGGCAAATTGTACACAAAGGCTCACCTCTATGCACTTAGTCCCAGTTTTTCAATGTGCTGTGTCACAGGAAGATAAATTCCAAAATTCCATTTTGTTCTATCTGAAAATATTCCCATGATTTCAAAGATTTGTCCTGGTGTATATATTTGATAATTCAGACTGGCATTTTCTTTTGGGCAGTTTGATAGCCTGTGCTTTATACTTTTCTTTCATACTTGTGCAGTCATGCAAGCACAGAAATACTATGCATTCTCCGATACGAAAAGTTTGGAGAATTTATCTAGAATGATAGTCTCCGTACCAACTCTAAAATTACAGATTCTCACTAAATAGCAGAATATTTACATAAATAATACCTGGCATCTGCTCTGCAGAAAGCCGCTTACCTCAAGACTGTCGAACATGCCTAATAGCATCAAGTGAGCCTAATATTTCTTCCCCATTCCCATGCCATCAAAGACAACATTTATTTACCCAAATATTGAGGGAAAAAAAATCTTACAAAAATATATGCAACTTTATTTCAGCAATTCCAAGATCTAAGACTGGAATCTCTTCGGAAATTGTAAGCCGAATTCAGTGCATTTATCAAGGCTATAAAATGAAGTCTATAAACAGCTCTATTAGATAATAAATTCTTCCCATTGTAAGGGACCACATCTTATTCACCTCCATAGCTGATGTCAACAAGGACTTGTGGATACGTATTACATAAGTAGAGTAAATGAATGATCAACAAATAATAGTACAATGTGAAAATTTTTATGCCAAACATTAGCTCTCTTGTAATCACCTTCACCTGACCTAAATTCCATCCAGACAAGTGGACATGGAGAAAAGATTTTCAAATTAACCCATACAATGATTAGCAGCTGTATACACTCATACTAATTTTAACTTTTCATATTACTTTTGCTCTTACTAATAAAAACATTTAAAAAAAAAAAAAAAACTCCAACTTCCATGCTTTTAAACAGTGAACCCAGCTGGCAAACTATAGCCTGGAAATACAGTTGAGATTTACATGAGTTATGGAGTGGAAAACTGACAACAGCTGAATATCACATCAGGGAACCAGCAGCCCAAAGCAGGCCATGGCAGTGCAAGCTTTATATTAGTGTAAAGACAACAAGTCACCCAACAAATAAACCATGTCATCTCCTTGATCATAATACTATTCATTAAAAGGAGCTAACAAAATGTAAGTTTACTAAAATTGACAACACCCAACACTGCCCTGACCTAGGGGCTTATTACGCTCCTATTGTCTTATTGAAAGAGATCACATTGTTTAATCCAAACCATTTACATGACTCAGAGTGAAGCTCTCTAAGAATAAAGGCAACTTTTAGGGTATTTATACTTTAACAGAACAGGAATATCCTAATGAAAGAATGAATATGGTCAGTGAGCAAATAAAATTTTGAGCCAATACTATACTGAGAAGTCACCACTCAGTTGGCATTATTGTTTATCACCACCAGGACAGTTTTAATCACATCTTTTAACAGGAGACCTCCACCACATTGTGAAGTTAATTGCATTTCCTGTCTCCTAGCCTTGAGATCAAAGCAAAGAAAGCAGATGGGAAAGTATTAGCAGGGAAGTGTGGTGGCAACAGCTGGTTTGGAACTCTATCAGATAAGCTTTAGCCATGGAGCTAGAGGCAATAAAAATTAGTGCTTATAGATTTGTCTTCTGGCACCAAGTGCTGGCTTCATCACTTACAGCTATGTGACCTTGGGCCTTGGTTTTCTCAACTATAAACTGAGGATAATACTTGTAAAGATTAAATGAGATATTTCATTAAAAGTACTTAACACAGTACTAACACCAAATAAAAGAAGCCCTGGTGGCACAGTGGTTAAGCGCTTGGCTGCTAACCAAAAGGTTGGCAGTTCAAACCCACCAGTCGCTCCATAGGAGAAGGATGTAGCAGTCTGCTTCCATGAAGATTTACAGCCTTGGAAACCCTACGAGGAAGTTCTACTCTGTCCTATAAGGTCACTATGAGTTAGAATCGACTCTACAGCAGTGGGTTTGGTTTTTTTTTGAACACCAAATAAGACCTGAATAACTGTTTGCCATTAGTAGCAATAGTAGTAGTGGTGGTGGTATTGCTGTTGTTAGTAACTTTCAAATCAGCTCCAACTCATTGAGACCTTATATACAACAGAACAAAACGTTGTCTAGTTCTATGTCATCCTCACAGTCACCAGCATGTTCAAGTGCATCGTTGTAGCTATTGCACCAACTGATCTCATCAAGGGTCTCCCAAGTCCTCACTGGCTCTTTATTTCACCAAACATAATGTCCTCCTCAAGCGACTGATCCTTTCTGATGACATGTCCAAGGCAATCAAGTCGGACAACGTTCTGTTGTGATCCTTAAAGTTTTTATTGACTAATTTTCAGAAGTAGATCACCATGCCTTTCTTTCTTAGTCTAGAAGCTATGCTGAAACCTGTCCACCATGGGTGACCCTGCTGATATTTGAAATACCAGTGGCATAGCTTCCAGCATCATAGCAACACTAAAGCCACCACAGTATGACAAACTGACAGATGAGTAGTAGTAGTATCTAAAAGAGGCAATGTAATATAGTAGGGAAAGTCTGGGTTTCTTTTAAGTCAGATAGACCTGAGTTTGAGCCAAAGTTCTTACCCTCCCTAAAGATCAGTTTACTTCCTCGATATAATACATTTCACAGAGTTGCTATGATGATTAAATTATATAATATATATAAGGGCCCTAGTATAACATCCCTCAGGTAATAGGAGCTTTGAAATGTATGCATTATTATTGTGGAATTCACTGACAGAATGGTCAAGGAGCTTTGCGGAGAAAAGCACTGACAGTACCAGACTTCTTATTCATGAAGTTTGAGAGCGTGGTGAAATTCAAAAGCCAGAGGAATCGCAGTCTATTTATAAGACCACTAAATCACCAAATTTCCTACATTTCTGAAGACTGGTGCATCAGAAAAGTGGACCAATTGAGCCCATTATTTCTCTTCCTGCATCTGCTCATCCTCTAGCATTCCCACCTCAGATAATAGTTAATTCTACCTCCCTGAGCCAGTTTCTCAAATGAAGACCCTCCTCTCCAGCCCCAAGCCTATGGACTCAGACTGAGCTTTCCTCATCTGAAAAGGACATTTATGTTTTGTCCCTTGACTAGAGATAGCACACCTCCTTCTCTTAGAAAACAGCTCCTCCCCCACACATCTGGGCCTGTCAATCACAAGTTGGTCCTCTGACCCAGGGATTAACACATAACCCTTATTAGACCAATCAGAAATCTTCCTTGGAATTTTTCAAATTGGGAGTCCAGCCTCTTTAAGGAATCTGGAAAATGTGAGCTGGGAGCTTCTGACAGCCATGGTTCCAACCTCCTTGAGAAAGCCTTTTTGAAAGACTAAAACTAACATGATGAAAGGCAGAGACAAGTGAAATGGGACAGCAGGTCTTCAAGTCTAGCCAGCTGCGTTCCTGATCTTCACATTGTTTTGTATCATAATCCATTTTTGCTTAGGCCAGTTCAAGTGGAGTTTCTGGCTCCTAGGGAAATTCATATCAACACACAAAGTCAAGAGTGCTGCTATGCCTGGGAGATGACTAGAACCTGCCATTCACTCAGTCACTACCAGGATGCTTTCTCTCCACTGTTGCCCATGCAACGCACTAGATCACCTTCATTCTCACTTACTGCTCATCAGTGTCTCCAGGCAGATAACTTGGTCACTGAGAACTCCAAGCATTACACCCAAGGCTCCTTCCATCATTCAGGGTTTAACTCTTCCAGTTCAAGTTTGAAAAGGATTCTGATTGGTTTTGTTTGGGGTAAGTGCCCACTCCAGGAACAATCAACTGTGGCTATAATATGACACACCAACACAGCCACTGTACATGTACCACTGTGTCCACCACCACAGCATTTCATTCAAAGTCCTTCATAAGTTGTCTCCAACATGCCTTGTAAGCTTATCTCCCACCACACACTTACATAAAATGCACAATGGAGACACACTGTATTACTCAGTATTTCAGAGATATACCACACACTTTCATGGCTCCATGCTTTGCTCATTTTGTTCCCTTTGCCTCCAATGAATGTCTTTCAAAATTCTTCTCTTTAAAAGACCCAGCTGAAAATCCATTCCACATTGCCCTCCTCCTCTCAAAACGAGTTCTTCTCAGCACTCCTGCGCCCTGTTTTGTATTTACTTATGAATATGTTTTATCACCCCAACTAGATTTTAAGCTCTTCAGGGACAAGGACTCCAACATATTCATCTTCCTATCCTTTAGTATCTAATTCAATGCCTTGCACTTAATCAGGGCTCAATATATGTTCCATTCCCACCCAATGGTCGTCAAGGTGATTCCAACTCATAGCAACCCTATAGGACAGAGTAGAACTGCCCCATAAAGTTTCCAAGGAGCAGC